AGAGAAATTTTTATATTCTGCCAAAGTTTATGGCTTTGCAGAATTAAAATAATCCTTTAAAGTTCCATAGAATCTTGAAGCACAGGCATGCACAGGTTTATGATATTTTGAGGGTGTTTCCAGAAGTCTGACAGATTTTAAACTAGTGCCAAACATGTTGGAGATCTCTCGTAGATGTGGAGCCCTGTGTATATCCAACATAAAATTAGTAATGATGCATGCACATTATTAAATTCTGATGTTTGTGTTGTCTATCATCATCAGTGCTACTGAGGTATTATTTTCTACAGAAGATATAGCTCTGTTTATATAATGACTACGGCCAAATGAGAATCTTTGCCACTTCTTTGTTTTTCCCTTAAAAATAACAAACCTTTGTATTTTTTGTTTATGTAATAGATGTTTTATTGCAGGTTGGTTGAAGGTTCACAGAGAAGATTTCTTTTCCTTTGAACAATTCTTACACATTTTCTACCATCTTGTTAATTAAAATCCCCACAATGTACCAACCCTAAACCACTCATTCTCTGCATTTCCTATTTCGATTCTTCCTTCTCTCGTAATCTTTCTGAACTCTTTTTGCGTAAATGCTGCCATTCTGGTCTCAAAATGTTGATTAAACTAAAATGTGAACCCTCGCTATCTTTTCCATTTCTAATGGGCACATTATTGTTTATGGTTTGGTTAATTAATTTAAATAGTATTTTTTAGAGTAGACACCTATATGCTTGAGGTTCCTGTCCAGACCGTGATGAAAGAAATTTGAAAAGACCATACCGGTTCTTTCTGCCATGTAATTAGTATCTACTGGAGAATTGCTTACTTTAAGGATGTACACTAATTTCTAGAGTTGAAATAGGTGCGACAGTAGAAAAGCACAATGCATAAGAGAGGATATTGTGCAGAACAGATTTGTTTTGAGGGGCCATCAAAGCTTGTCTTGAGGAAGCCACGTTTAACTGAGCTAGAAAAATGAAGAATGGTAGCAAGCACAGTATTTTCTATGAGGGGATACCCCCCAAAACCGGAATTGCACTGGGTGGAATGGAACCTTCATACTGTGCATTTCTTCCACTAGGCAAGCATCTAGCAACTCGCTCTGAGTTAGTGCACTCAGTGGCGTCACCTGGGGATGTTTTCTCTGGTCACAGTGAATTTTTTCTTAAAAGCAGTTTCGATCAAACCTCATTTTTTTGTCATGGCCGATTTAAGAGAACAGTGTTGGGTTGGGAAATTTTGTTCAGGAAAAATGCAGCAGAAATTGTTGTGATGTTGAACACAGTTTATAAGGACAGCACTATGGGAAAAACTCATGCATACGAGTGGTTTTCTCATTTCAAAAAAGGTGGACATCCAACAACTTCCCAAATGGACAAAATGAAGTCATTCCACCAGGTCAGACTGTTCACCAATCTTTCTATTTAGAGGTTATGAAAAGCTTGCACAACAGTGTTCGACAAAAAAGGTCTAATTTGTGGCAGATGGGACACTGGTTTTGCACCCATGACAATGCACTTGCTCACTCAGCCATCTCAGTATGCCAGTTTTGGGCAAAAAACAGCATGCCTCTCTTGCCCCATATGTATGATTGTGGAGTTGTATGTGCCCCTAATAAAATGATTTTAAAAAAAGAGAATGTGGCATCAGGATTGGAGGAAGCCTTATTAACAACCTGCAATATGCAAATGAGACACCTTTGCTTGCTGAAAAGTATGGAGGACAAGAATCGCTAATTAATGAAGATCAAGGACTGCAGCCTTCAGTATGCATGGGAAATCAATGTAAAGAAAACAGAAATCTCCTCTGGACCAAGAGAAATTTCATTATAAATGAAGAAAAAGTTGTGAAGCATTTCATTCTTACTTGGATCCACAGGCATTGCTTATGGAAGCAGTAGTTAAGAAATTCAAGGACATGTTGTGCCTTTGGCAAGTCTGCTGCCCCTCATCAGATGTCTTTAAGTGCTGAAGAGCAAGAGGTCACTTTGAGGACTGAAGTGCACCTGACTCAAGCCTCATGTGCACGTGGAAGTTTGAATTAGGATAAAAGAATTAGAAAGACTGCAGAATTTATTCATTGAATTATGATGTTGAAGAATATTGAAAGTACTGTGGACTTCCAGAAGAACAAACAAATCTGTCTTGGAACAAGTAATAAGAAAGAACAGTGAGCCCTCATCCCATGTACTTTGAACATATAATTAGGAAAAACCAATCCTTGTGTAGTAGTTACATAATCTCTGTCAACTTGATAAATAAATGTAGGGGTGGCTCACTTTTCAGTGAAACAAGTATATCAAGGTGATAATACCACTAGGGAAGTATGCATAACTTAGAATAATCAACCAAAGTTCAGGAGGCTTAGGAAACAAGGAACAAGAAGAAAGGGGTAAGTTTTGTTACATTGTGAGGATTGCAATCAATGAGATAACCCAAAATGCGTATGAATTGTTGAGTTTAATCTTGATTATCTGTTTTGTAAATCTTCACCCAATTCACAATAAAAAGGTTTTTTTTTAAAAAGAGACCTTTTTTGATTGTAGCTTGATGAACTAGAGTTAAAACTTTTAAAAAGAATACAAGAAAAAAAAGATAAAACGACAGAAAGTTACATGGTCAGATGTGATTACTGTTATTATTCTGTCATTTTGGTTTTAGTATCCAAAATATATTAAAGAGTAGGCGTAAATGATTAGCAGGAAAAGACCAGTCAAGAGATTGTTGCAGTATTCTAGCGAGAGATGATGCTGATAAATGGAACAGTCGGTACCGAGTTAGGAAGCATCTGGGCAGTTGAAAAGCAGGACGTTGCAGTGTGTGTCTAGAAAAGGAATCAAGTAAATTTCTGTCCAGGAATTATTCCTGAACTTCTGCTGGCCAGTTAGTAGTACCATTTACTGAAATATACTAATGACAACAGGTTTGAGGAGCAGATTATACATTTTGTTTGGGTTGTATTTTTAAGGTGACTTTTATATTGAATTAGGAAGTTTGTATAAAAGCCTGGAGTATACAACTTTCCTCTAGTTTTTTAATTTTTCCTCCGCCCCACTATCATGACCTCAGTTCTACCTTACAATTCTGGCTAGACCAGAGCATGTACACTGGTATAGATAAGAACTGGAAACATGGGGAATCCAGGACAGATAAACTCCTCAGGACTGATATTGAGAGTAGCCATACCAGGACAGTAAGGGGAAAGTAGGGTGAGAAATGGGGAACCAATCACAATGATCTACATATAACCCCCTCCCAGGGGGATGGACAACAGAAAAGTGGGTGAAGGGAGACTGGTTGGTGTAAAACATGAAAAAAAAATTATAAATTTTGAAGGGTTATAAGGGGAGGGGGGGGGGGGACGGGAAAACTGAGGCATTGATACCAAGGGCTCAAGTAGAAAAAATGTTTTGAAAGTGATGATGGCAACATATGTCCGAGTGTGCTTAACACAGTAGATACATGTATGGATTGTAATAAGAGTTGTACAGCCCCCCAAAAAATGATTAATAAAAATATTTTAAAAGCCTGGAGCTTTGAAGAAAGCTTAAGATAAAGTTTTAGAATTTTTAAATTTGGGAGTTCACGGGGAAATAACAGTAAGAAGACCCCCTTATCGAGGTCAAAGCAATGGGAAGTATTGGAATTTAGTGGGAGTCGGTGTCATTCCACAGCGCCGGTGAGGAGCAGTTGCCTGCTAGGTGCAGTGAGAGCTGAGACACAGACATGCAACTTCCAGTGTCACCTCTGGTGTCCTTCTGGAACTTTGCATTTGAACCCTAAATTATTTGGAGATCAATTTAGCATATAGCTTTTGTTTTCTGTTTTTCTTTCCCTTTTATTTCTAATTAAGGGCGCTTTTAATTTTCAGAGAATTCTAAGGAGCCCTGGTGACACAGTGGTTATGTGCTGGCCTGCGATCTGAAAGCAGCAGTTCAAAACCACCAGGAGCTCCGAGGGAGAAAGCCTGGGCTTTCTACTCCTGTAAACAGTTACAGTCTTCAAAGACATGGGCAGTAGCTCCCTGTCTTATACGGTTGCTAGGAGTCAGCATTGACTCAATATCAGTAAGTGAGTTCAGTGAGTATCTTCTACCCCTATGATGATTTACAGTCTCAGGAAACCCACACAGGCAGTTCTACTCTGTCCTGTATGGTCCCTACGAGTCAAAATCAAAAATAAGAAAGGAAAAAGGTATGTGCTAGCCCTCAGAACTAAACAGTTAATCTGTTAGAAAATAAACATTATATCATATTATTGATTGTGTATACCCCGATTTTGAAGATCTGTGGTTGGTGCAGTGGGGTAAGTGTTGGGCTGTAAGTCACAAGTGTGTGGTTCACACCCTCAAGCTGCTCCTCATGAGAAAGGATATGTGCTCTCCTGAAGGGTCACTGTGAGTCTCGAGCGACTTGATAAAGTTTTCAGCTTTATTTATTTAACCACACATTTCATCGTGGCAGGCCTTGTGATGTCGTAAACAATCCCAAGTTGATGCTTGGGTTCTTTCTCCATAGCCATCACTCAGAACATTTCTACATCTCCCAAGTTTCTGAACCGAATTTCAAAGTCCTTGCGTTTGAACAAGAGTGTATATACAATCTGTTCTTAACTTCCTCGTTCCTCCTTTCTTCTCATCAAAATTTCTTTGTATCTTCATCCAACCTTTTCCTTCTCTCAATCTGTGTAGAAGAATCACTTCTTTTCTCTCAAAATGAAATTTTCCATCTGTTTTTTTTCTTCCTTCTGACCCTCATGGGAAAAACTAGAGAAAAACAGAAAATGGAAAATATCTGTTATTTATATTGTTTTTATATGATATATATCCTATCTTATGTTTTATTAGATATATGTCCTATTCGTCATACTTGGTAATTAATTGTATAATTAATAGAGTCTGAGAAGCTTTAAAATTATTTTCTTTTGTACAATATGTTTATTATTTTATTATTAAAATATTATACTAATAAGTTATAAAGTACATTTGCTTTTTTTTTAATTCAGAAAGACTGGTGGTGGTGGCTGAACACTGTGCACAGAGTCTGGAAGACTTACTTCGAGAAAGGAAACCTGTGAGGTACTGTATAATCTTAGGGAAATTCAATGAAAAGCAGAAATTGGAAAACAAAAGACATTTTAACTAGAAGCTTCAGGGTTTGGGTTTCTTCAGTTTCTTGTATAATGATAAAGTTCAGGTACAAATTTCCCTTTTAAGAAATTTAATTTTCAGGCATCATAGAAATGCAAAATTAATATTGTTCATTATTCAGCCATTGTAATGCAGGCTTTCTCCAAAGTACTTGACAGAAAAAGACAAAATTCCTAAAGAAGAGAACTTGAAATTTTCTTAGTATTGAGTATTCCACTAACTGAGATTAAGATTATTTTCCTTAAAAGGGCACATATTAACTTCTCACAGGGCACTAGTATGTCTAGAGTCACAGTGAATTATGTGAAATAAAGTCCATGTTGTGTTAGTCTGGGTAGACTAGAGAAACAAATTCATTGACACTCATATATGTGTAATAGATAACTTTATATCACAGAGTAATTGTATATTAAGAAAGCATCCCAGCCCAGTCCAGTTTAAGTTCATAGGTCAGATATTAGCCCTTATGTCCAATACCAGTCTATAAATTCCTCTTCAGATTCACACACCACATGCAATGACACTGAATGCAGGAAGATCACAGGCCAGTGGGTGGAAAGTCTTGTGGATCTAGTGGCAGTAGAAGAATCTCAACGCTGACAGGGGTCTCCATGTGGCTCCTCCAGCTCCGGGGCTCTAGCACAGCTCCATGTGCCTCGTCAGCAGGAAGACAATGCAGAGAGAATCTGTGTTATCCCCTTCACACCCCCAAATGAGGTCATCAAGTTGCCACCTGATTGACAGACTAGACTCCATCTCTTTGCACGTTGACAAGAGAATATGTAACTGCCACACATGTTGAGGAATATTGTGAAAAAAAACCACAATATTGGGCAGAGTAGATAGAATGTAATGGTACCTGAATTAAATTAAATTATTTTATTGAATCAAGCTTACTTTCTGTCTATTAAGATGAGTATGTAATTTAACCTTTTATTACAAGTGTACTATTAAGTGACCTTCTTCATAGATATTCTGAAGTTATCTTAACATTTACCAAAATCTTTCTTTAGTGAACAAAACAATTGCATTTGAGCAATCAAAAAACTTGCCATGATTTTTATAGGGTTGTAAATTTGAAGAAATGTTTTTAATCACATTTGAAAAACTTTAAAAAGTTCAATCTAACCATGACCTTACTTAGTGTACAAGGGTAAGTCCAAAAAGCATTGCTACTAGTGCATACATGCACAGGCTTCGTCTTGTGTTTAAACATATCTCTGCGGTAACTGGATGGCTACAGACCAGTTCTCTTAGTAAAACACGTGTCTCAGTCTCATTTGGATGCCTTCTTTTCACTCACAATAATTGCTTCTGGGGTGATCTAAATTCAGAGGGATTGTAACTGTTTTGGGGGATTCCAAATGGATAATCTTGATAGGTTTTATTAAAAAGCTAATGACAGGGCCTCATGATGAATCAATTTTAAGGAAATTAAAAATGGTATTGGTGATGAAAAGACCAAGGAATTATGTCAAAGAGATTTTTTTCATTGTGACAATGCACCTGCTCATTCTTTGAGGTTAGCAAGAGCAGTCCTGCAAGCATTTGTTTGTAAATCTTATCCTATTCTCTTTACAGCTCTGGCCTTGCCCCTTCAGATTTCCTGTTTCTCAAAACTCAAAAAACATTCAAAAGGAACATGGTTTCCATTTTTATATGCCATCCATCTTTTATTTTGTTGTTTTTTTCCTTTAAGAACATACTGCTCTTGCTCACCTGTATAAGTTTATACTTTTCATTATAGGTCATTGCTGCTAGAAACAATTCTCTGGGAAGAGTAGGTGACAGTATAGTAAAAATCAATTCATTTGTAGCAACATCTTAAGAAAACAAGCAAACAAAAACCATCCCTATTTTACCCAAGTGTTTTTATATGAATCGCTTTTTTAAAAAATTTTATTTTATTTCATTGGTCTCTGTGTTAATTATTGTACCAGTATTAGGCTGTTTTAATTACTATAGCTAAGAATATGTGTTTTTTTTAAGTCATTTTATTGGGGGCTCATACAACTCTTATCACAATCCATACATCCATCCATTGTGTCAAGCACTTTTGTATATTTGTTTCCCTCATCATTCTCAAAACACTTGCTTTGTACTTGAGCCCTTGGTATCAGCTCCTCATCTGTTCCCCTCCCTCCCACACTCTCCCTCCCTCATGAACCCCTGATAATTTATAAATTATTATTATTTTGTCATATCTTAAACTATCCGACATCTCCCTTCACCCACTTCTCCGATATCCGTCCAGGGAGGAGGTTATATGTAGATCAATGTAATCTGTTCCCCTTTGTCCCTCACCTTCCCTCCAGCCTGTGAGATCACAAGGCATCGAAGGGATCAGGGATCAGGCATCAAAGAACAACAAAAGAAAAACCATAGCATTGTGAATGAGGGGGAGTGCTGAGTAGGGACCCAGGGCCCATCTGTCGGAAATTGGACATCCCCTTGCAGAGTGGCGGCAGGGAGGAGATGAACCAGTCAGGGTGCAGTGTAGCAATGAGGAAACATGCAATTTTTCTCTAGTTCTTGAATGCTTCTCCCCCCCTCCACTATCATGATCCCAATTCTACCTTACAAATCCTACTGGACAGGAGGATGCACACTGGTACACATAGGAACTGGAAACACAGGGAATCCAGGACAGATGATCCCCTTAGGACCAGTGGTGAGAGTGGTGATACGAATGCTTTTATATGGTCACTCTAGCCATGCTTTGTAATTCCCACATAATGATTGACTGGAACTCTGTAGCTTAATGATTTATGATTCACCAAGAAGTTGCCATGCAAATTAAGTGATTGATGGTCTACTGAAGGAATTGGTTCATGTGTGGCCTCAGTGAGAGGGTCCTGCATTGAAATTGACAGAAGTTGAGGAGGACATCATATAACCAAGAAGAATCTGGAGTGAAGCATGTCCTTTGGTCCTTTGCACCAATGACCCAGTCTCCCAGCACTGAGAACCTCCTAGAGCCAGAAGATAGCTGGTAACAATGAAAAGAGTGAGAAGCAGCAACCGGCTCAGAAGAACCATGTAGGAGTGTAACAATAGCAACAAAATAGTAGTGGTAGACAGGAGACTGTGGACAGCAGATGCAGTGGCCACAGCAAAGAGAGCTCAGTGTCTTTGGGCCTTGAGGCTTGCTGGTGTGTGCCTCTGAGTACTTGGCAGCAAAGCTAAGAGAGAGCTCTAACACTTGTCCTTGTAGGGCAGGGTCCTAATTGCTGTTTTGTGAGTATTTCCTCAGAGGATTCAATTCAGAGGGTTTTCTACAGCAGGGCAAAGTTAGATGCATCTGGGAAGAAAGATTTCAGAAGAGTTTTAAAAAATGTAATGCTTATGTAGCTTATGAGAGGCCTGAGTGTAGCTTTTGCAGGAGTTGGATACCTGCTTCCCTAGGTAGTGTGGACATTGCAGGCCTCGGTAGCATGACCAGAGGTAGCAGCAGAGGCTTAAAAGGGCTTTGCAGCAGAGCCTCAGAAGAACGTATGCAAGGGACTTCCCATCTCTAAGGCAAGGCCCACTGAGTCCTAGTGGCAAAGCACAACCCCAGCAGCATGGTGGTAACTGAAGGCAGTGTTGACAGGAGGACAGTATCTGGCTTTAGGTGCCTATGCAGCCACATAACAGTGAACATGGGTAATGTCGGAGATGGGGAGTGTTTTCCCTTTGGGAATCTGTTGCTATTATTTACTGTTTGCTTCTTACAGATAATAGCTTTTACTTTGCCAACACTGTCTAATGTGTCTGCCTTGATCACACATAGCTTGGCACCCATGGATGGTAGATGCCAGGAGGGATACTTGCCTCATTTCTGACAGTCTTAAGTTTGAGAAATAACCTGTCTGCATGTGTAATGCAGAAACAAAGACACGTGTATTCATAGATTGTGATGGTTTAGGTGTGATGGGTAAGCCAAACTTTGCTGGACCATGATTTTCAATGGTTTGGCATTCATGATATAGTCAACCCCTATGAAGAGAGCTGATATAATGGAATCACCTACATGATGAGCTCTTCTGTGAGCAATCAATTGAAAGGGCGTTTTGTCGAGATTGTCTGCTTCCAACATATGTGGACACGCAAGCAATACTTGCTTTACTAGATTTGTATCCTGCTTCTGGCTTATCACCTGATCTCCAGTTCTTTGCACTTGAGCCAGCAGTTTCCTCTATTGTCTGCTAATTCTGAGCCTTTACCCTCTGTAGACAGTGATCAACAGCCTGCCATCTTACCTGCTGACCTTAGATATATTAGCCTCTGCAGCTAGCAGCATATCTTCTGACCTGCTGATCTTGTGTCATCGGTCTGTACATCTACATGAGACAGGATAAGCTTATAGCCTGCCATCTGACTCATCGCCTTGGATTGGAACTTGCTAGCCATTGTAATTTCATGAGCCATTTCATTGTAATATACTGCCCTGAATGTGATTATATGGGTACATATGGAAGCTTCACTGGCTTTGCTTCTCTACAGAAGCCAGCCTCATACACTGCGCCTGAGCTAACTTAAAAAAACAAATTGAAAAACTAGTATAGATGATAAAACCCACCTATATTATGATTCTGCAATTTTACTCCTAGGAAACAGGCCTCCTTAAAATTGCACCTTTGGCACCTCACTTGCAGCCACTTAGTTCTAACCCTGCTTCATTATTTAACTAAGAGAAAAGTGTATATTCATCTAAAGATTTGTACAAGAATGTTCCTAGAAACATTATTCACCATCGTCCAAAACTGGGAAGAAATCAAATATCCAGGAGCTGGATAAACAAATTATGGTGTTCAGTAATAAAAAGTCATAAGCTACTGTTATATACAACACTTGAATGAATCTTAAGAATATTGTGTAGAGCAAAAGAAGCCAGATAAAGGATGGCAGCCTTTCATTTATGTGAAGATCTAAAACAATCCAAATTC